AAAATGAAAAGGATGAATTTATAATAGATGTGTTAGCTGTCCTGGCTACTGTTGAACTTTCTTTCAGCGCTTTGTTTTTTAGTAACTGAGTTAATTGCTGATATACATTTGATAACAAGAAAAAATTTGTCGATAGCAGTCCTTTAAAGTCGTCTAACACAGCACGACGACTTTTCGTTTGGCCCGCATATTTGTTTGTACAAATTAGAGCACAGAATATATGCTTTTCTCTGATGCACAGATCCAAAAGCCATTTCAGTTCTTCAAGATTGACAAATGTGCCAGGTGATGCACAAAATATCATGTAGAGAGGCTTCGATTCAGGTTTTTGTAACAATCGGTTTTACATTCGGTCGAATATCATTTTTGTCCCATGATTCAAATCCGGGTGTGTCACAAAAATTATATTTATAATGAATAATCTTTGAATCAATTTCACACTCACCTTCCAGTTTGTGACAGCTAATAGCTTTCGTACATGAAGCAAGACCATCTTTAGTTTCAGCTACTGCTCGTCCACATATGGCGTTAATCAACGTGCTTTTACCGACACGGGGTGAATTACAGACAATGATATGGAACTCTTTGGTTAAAGCCTGAAATATTTGACCCACCATTTGATCAGTGGCTTCGCGACGTGTTGATCTCACCTTCTCTTGAAAAATAGCCGCATCATTCGCAGTAACACCATCTATCAAAGGAGCACGAGGAGTTAATGTTAGTGGAACGCATTGGGAATCAATATCAACTAATTGTCTCTCGGTATTCGACTGCTTCTGTTCGATTGTTTTATAGGACAGAGGTTGTATGGCACTGGTATTGCTGTCATCAGCTGGACCTGGCTCACGAACCAATGCCCAAACTGAAAAAATCTTGCAAAATTAACAGTTACTTGGAAGTATTATTGTTTCATTGCCCCTGGCCAAGCCTCACTGTATCTGCGAGGAATTTTCACTAGTATTTTCGCCTGTGAGAGTTGTAGATTTAACGACCGGCCTGGAAGATTGGAGTGCTAAGATGTCGAGAATAAAGAGCTAGTGAGAGCGTAGAGAGGAGAGGCAACGAAGCTGGGATAAAGCGCTTTATGTAATTCTTTCATGCACTTGTTTCTTTAGTTTAGTTTAATCTATATTTATTAGTCACCTAAATACTGAATAATAAAAAAATACTCTACTTGTTTCTTTCTCAAATATAATAACATTCTTATATATAGTTTTCATGTATTATACCCATCACAATCCGGGACGATCATATGGCCCTTTTGCGCATTTCAGGGCCAGGAAGCTTGGAATACCAGAATTCAGGGATCTCAGGCGTTTAAATAACAGTTAAACTTATAACGTTTACACCGCTGCTCCGTGTTTCCTACTATCGGCACGCAAAAGTTATTAAAGTCTTAACAACTTACTGCGCCTACGCGTCTTTCGTCAGGATAATGCTAAAAAGAAGCATTTTCTCAAGAACGCTGTATATGCAAATAAAAGAAAAATTGATCAACCTGTAACAATATGGCATTTTGTTGAAGCCTCATATGTTTCGTGATGTCAATACTTTTCCACAATCGGCATGTGAACATTTAAAACAACGATTGTCGTAAATCTACGAGAAGAGACAATAAGTTTATTCCAGTCAGAACTTTTTTCAAAAGCCTTACTTTGCCCTCATATTTTTCATATTTATCGGCATTGTAAACTGTTGCACCACATCCTGTACATTTTGATACGTTAGATGTCATCTTTCTGACTGAAAAGGTAAGATAAAGTTTAGTAGTGCAGCTGGTTTAGTAATATATTTGTTTTCAATAGTAGTGGGAGCACAGGAATTCTGACCAACACAAACAGATTCTTCTTCAAACACTTTTCAAAAGAAAAAAACTAATATTAAAATATGGTTAGATTTCACAAAGAAACAGAATGTTACAGCTGTAAGGTGCCGAACATCCAGAAATGTGGCAAAAATTTTTCGTTAGTTAAATAGGGCTCATCGAGTTATCTAAAAAAACTAAATTTTAGATTTTTAAAACTGATTCTTGTGTGAAGAAGCTTTTTAAAATATGAATCTTTTAATTGCACTCGGCAATCAATCAGAGCCTTTTATAGCCATCACAGAGACTTGGCTTGATTCTGCAATTCCCGACGCCGACATTTCTTTAGTACAAATCCTTAACACAGTTGCTATTCTTTTCTATAATTCTACTTGTATAAAAGAAAAAGTACTGACATAGCAATCCAGTATATTAAAGGCAGTTGATATACATGTTCAGTTAAAAACCGTTTGACTTTACTCCAATGACCAGTTATGATTTACACAACATTTACGCTTTTTGCATAGAAAGAAAGAACGTCTATACCGTAAATGTAAAGACAATTCTTCTCTCTCTTCTATCGGGAGATATAGAAGAGCGACCAATGAATTTAAAAAGTCATGTACTGAGGAAAAACAAATGTATTTCGAACGTATACGAAAAACAAATGTGTCAAAAAACTCATCGCGGATATTACTTAGGGCAGGCCAAAAGTGTTGGCGGAGATACTGCTATTCTTTATAAAAAGCTTTAAGAGCCATTGCACGTAAGTCACGACCTATTACTGCGGAGTGGCCTTCAATCGATGTTTTCCAAACTTTTCCAAAGTAGGGGGCTTTTGTAGACCAAACATTTTAAGGAATTTTGGTAAAAGGCGCAAATCAAAAAGTTGTATCGTTGCTGAGATATTGATATTTTACGAAAAGCCCTGAAAAACGTAG